TAGCTAGGATACTGTCATCAGTGTACTGAGCATGTGCAGAAATGCAGGAACTGAAATTGCACTTATTTCCTTTGTCTTGGATGAGCCATGTGGTTTGACTAGATGTACAAGTCTATATTCTGCTCATTGATTGGTTAAAGGTATATGTGGGTGTAGCTATTAATGGGAGGAGTTATAGTGCTATATAAGGAATGTACACTATGTGTTGGTCTCTCAGAATGTTTGAACAGGAGTTCATCTGAGACCCGATCGGTAATGTGAATAAAGGCCTGTTACTTCCTGAAGACCTGTGTCCAATATTTCTGTGTTTGGCTTCTGCATGCTTACACTGCAACATTTCTGGTGCAATTGGGCCGGGAACCTCATTGCATGGAAGCTGGCACAGAGATTTGAGACGGTAAACTTTTACTAAACCTTCTACGCTACAATCCTGGACTTCTACTGCGTGGACCTCCTTTCGTCTCGGCGCCACTGGCCTTTTGTCCAGGAGATCATCGGCTTCTGCGCAGTGAGTCCCGGATTGTTCCGTCTATGAGTGAACCCAGGTCCAGAAATTGACAGGTAAGATTGATACCGTTAGAGCGGTAGACCCACAAGGGGTTTTATATTTGGAACCGGTTATTGGTATTGGCCCCTTCAGTAGAAGGAAGAAGTGAAAAGCGCAACACTTATCTGGAAATTAGACGCTCTGTAGTCAGCCCGTCTAATATAGGTGGTTTGGGTCAGACTGAGTTCTGGTGTAAATAGCTCATGTCGGACACCGGTGTCCTGTCTTGACTAGCGAATCTAGGGTGTAAATTTTGTTCGCTAGGTCGGGGGGACCGGGAGACTAGCATACTCTGTTGTATATTATAGTTTGCTAGATTTCACCCTATCTTAACTAAGTGTGCTCTGTTGTAAATCCAGCCACTAGCTTATTGATAGTTTAATAGACTAGCTGGGTACTGTGTAAATTCTGCCCTCTAGTTCGCTATAAGTGGTGTCTGGGCAGCGAAGAACTTATCGAATCTCTGGTGTATAAATAGATCGAAAGCTCTCGAGGTGCTGGCCAGTTAGAATAGTTGGGATTATTGTAAATGTTGTTAAATATATTGTAGTTGGTGAATTGGTTAACTTGTATGTCCTACCAGAAAGTTAGAGCTCTGCTGTCTAGTGGGAGTGTAAATTGTGTGTATAACTGTAAAATAGCGCACGGTACCATAACTACTGACATGTACCATAACCACTGATATTGTGTAAAAATTACTAACAATTGCTGTTTTATGTTATATGTATAATACCATGTATGTACGTAGTGGGGAATTACGATGAAACATAACATACTTAACCCCCATTCAACCCCCCCAATAACGACAGACAACGTAGTATGGATGAACAGGCCACAGCATTTATTAGAACATAAATAAATTACTGTATAACACACCCATAATTCCATAAATTAAACTCTTCTTTCTGTAACAAAATTGTTAGAAATAAATAATCATAAATAACATATATACATCTCAATTTAACATACAGTGCTATACAGAGACCCCACCGTCCTTGCCAATAAACCTACAGTGGTTCCTAAACACCACTGCCTCTCACCTCCCCCCCCGTCATAAAAAACATATCATTCCAATGCCTGCCATCAGCCGACTTTACCCACGCTCGATGGGCACGAGACCTCAGGCAACCTAAAGTTAAACCTTTTGAAGCAGGGGAGGCTGAGACCTGCAAACATAAGGAACTTATTCCTTCCTTAAACATAACCAAACTTAATTGGCAAGGACATCCCCCCGACTCGCTGTGACTAACTAAACCTACACGGGGTGGGCGGGCGGGAAGCTGTTTACTGGCCCGAATCCCAAGTGGCACTGAGGTAAGACCTCCCCCCTACTCGCTCACATAGCCCTATCCCACCCACACACACTTCCAAGACACTCCCACGCATCTCTCCCCACACTCATACATGTGCCCTTGTCCGCTTAGCTGCGCTATCTCCCCAGGGCCTTGTATGTACGTAGTGGGGAATTACGATGAAACATAACATACTTAACCCCCATTCAACCCCCCCAATAACGACAGACAACGTAGTATGGATGAACAGGCCACAGCATTTATTAGAACATAAATAAATTACTGTATAACACACCCATAATTCCATAAATTAAACTCTTCTTTCTGTAACAAAATTGTTAGAAATAAATAATCATAAATAACATATATACATCTCAATTTAACATACAGTGCTATACAGAGACCCCACCGTCCTTGCCAATAAACCTACAGTGGTTCCTAAACACCACTGCCTCTCACCTCCCCCCCCGTCATAAAAAACATATCATTCCAATGCCTGCCATCAGCCGACTTTACCCACGCTCGATGGGCACGAGACCTCAGGCAACCTAAAGTTAAACCTTTTGAAGCAGGGGAGGCTGAGACCTGCAAACATAAGGAACTTATTCCTTCCTTAAACATAACCAAACTTAATTGGCAAGGACATCCCCCGCCACCAAACCCGCTGCTTTACCCCTAAATCAGCGGGGAACCCCACCAAAACCACCCATGGCCTGTTCCACCGCCTCCTGCAAGGCGAGATTAAAAAGGTCGAGCCCGACCTCCGTTAGGTGTACACCATCCCCACGAAAAAATGAGCCGCCTCCCGCTCAAAAACCCTGTGGCGGACCGGGAGCCCTTGAGCCCCCAAAACAACTGGGAAACCCTCCTGTTTAACTTCCGACGGCAGCGCTCCACGGCACTCTGATTCCTGGCGCCACGCCAATAATTGCGGGCAATAACTTCCGACCAGATCAAGCGCACGCCCGGGAATAAAAGCAAAATGCGGGCCAAGTCCCGCTTCACCTCCGTGATTAAATCCCAGATGGGTACTGAACCCAGATCATTCCCCCCCAGGTGAATCACCAGGACACTCGGCGCCCCTAAGAGACGAGACAGCCGCACTAACTCGGGGAGGAGCCGTGACCACCTCATACCCCTTGCACCGAGCCATCGAACTTCCGCTTCGGAAGGCGTGAAACCCAACCTCGCACCTCCAGGCCGAACCGCCGCACGCTGCCCAGCCCAGTAAACATAAGAGTGCCCGACGATCCAGATCCTGGGGGGAACCGAAACTGTGAAAAGAAATCATGACATTAAACCGGCCGGACGAACATAGGAAATATAACGCCTCGAGTCCCACCTACCAATCCTCTGAACCACCTGCGCTGGCATGCCTAGCCGAGAGGCCTCGGTCGCCGCTCCAACACGGAAGGAATGGCCCCCGAACTCCCTGCTATCCAACCCCATCGCTTCCAGCCCTAAACGAAACACTCTAACAAACTGGAAATGGGACAGGAAACTCCCATCCCCATGGACCAGGAGAGGCAGCGCAGGAGAAGAGCGCACAGAACAATATTCCCCAAAGGACCAAACCGGACAAACGCCGGAACCCGGAACCGCCCCCAAACGGACCCACTTACCCCTCCCCAAGACGTCCGTCTTAGAGCGGCGGATCCGGAACGAGATCAGATCAGTGCCGCACGAAACGTCACCAAACAACACCCCCCCTACCTGCCGCCGGCTGGGGCATACCAGCTCCCCAATCCGCATGGCGCCGAAGAATGCCAGGGAAAAGGCAAGGCGAAACAGCCGAACCTCGAAATCCGAATGGCAAACCCGGTGCAACGCCTCACACAAAGCAGTTAGGAGCGTGCCCGAGACAGGACGCCTCGAGTCCGGCACCGACACCCTCCCCCGCCTCAAGCCCTTCAGAGCCTGACGGACAATGAACGCCTTGGTAGCGTCCTCCCAACCCCGTAGCTTAAACAGGAAGCTGAGCCCCGCTAAGCGTGCCGATATGGCCGAGGGAGACAACCCCGCGGCCTCCCAGTCCCCTAAGAGCCGAACCAAACCCTGCAGACGAGAGGATGAGTCCCGGAAGCCCCCACAGGACCCTTCCCACCCTTCCCATTCCCTCCAAACCTTATTATAGCGGTCCCATGTGGCCGCAGCGACCGACCCACGGACCAACTCCATCAGTCTGTCAGACCCAAGGACCACATCTCTGTCGGACACGGGACACCCTCCAGCTCGGCTTGTGGAGCCACCGCCCGAAACACGTCCCACTGTGAACGAGAGAGAGCATCGGCCATCACATTACGCACACCCGGGATGTGCACAGCCCTACAATACACATTCAGCTCGAGACAACGCAGCACTAGGCGTCGGAGCAAGCGAACCACGGGGGGGGAAGAAGCAGACAGCTGGTTAATAGCCTGCACTACACCCAAATTGTCACAATGGAAGACCACCCGACTATCCACCAGCAGGGAACCCCATACCTCCAAAGCTACCAAAATTGGGAAGAGCTCCAGAAATGCCAGATTTCGAGTGAGCCCTGCCGCGTGCCAGGTCTCCGGCCATGAGTCAGCGCACCATTTGGCGCCCAGGATGGCTCCAAAGCCGGCCGAACCCGCCGCATCAGTAAACAAATGGAGGTCCGCATTAGAGACCTCCGGGGCCTGCCAGTAAGACCTGCCATTATAGGAGGCCAAAAAGGAGTCCCAGACGGCCAAATCAGCCCGTAAGGGCCGGGTAAGCCGGATAAAATGCTGCGGATGAGCGACCCCCGACGTCGCCGCCGCCAAGCGCCTATTAAAAATACGCCCCATTGGCAATATCCGACAGGCAAAATTGAACTTCCCCAGCAAAGACTGCAGGCAGCGTAGCTGGATCTTACGCCGCCCCAGGGCTCGGGACACCGCTAGGCGCAGATCCAAGACCTTATCATGCGGCAGCCGACATTCCCCAGCCATCGAATCGATTTCGATGCCCAGAAAGCTCAAGCACGTGACCGGACCAACCGTCTTGTCACGAGCCAACGGAACCCCGAAGTGATGAAACACCTCTCCGAGAACCCGCAGCAGGAGAGCACAGACGTGCGACTCCGCCGGACCTACACACAGGAAATCATCCAGGTAGTGCAGGAGGGAAGCGACCCCCGCTTCCCTCCGCACCACCCATTCCAGAAAAGTGCTAAAGCACTCAAAATAAAAACAGGATAGCGAGCAACCCATGGGGAGGCACATGTCCACAAAAAATTGGCCCTCAAAGGCACACCCCAAAAGATGATGGCACTCCGGATGCACCGGGAGCAGCCGGAAAGCGGATTCCACATCCGCCTTAGCCAGCAGTGCCCCGGGGCCCGCCGCTCTCACCATTCGAACCGCCGCATCAAAGGATGCGTAGGAAACCCTGCAAAGTTCAGCGGAAATGTCATCATTCACCGATCCGCCCCGAGGGTACGACAAATGGTGAATTAAACGAAACTTCCCGGGATCCTTCTTGGGTACCACACCCAAGGGAGAAACCCGCAGATTCGCCATCGGCGGGGTGGAGAACGGGCCGGCCATCCGACCCAAGGAGACCTCCTTTTCCAACTTGTCCCGCACCACCTGAGGAAAAGCCCGCACGGACTTGAGGTTCCGGACGGAGAGCAGCGGAGGGCGCTCCGCGAAAGGGATCCAAAACCCCTGCTCAAACCCATCCACCAGGATCCGCGCCGCAGCCCGATTCTTATAAAGGTCGAGCCACGGGCGCATCGCGTTTACGAGGACCGGAGTCGTCGCCCTTAGCCCCCATGTCCCCCTTCTCCCCCGTTTTGCCCCGCTTGAAACAGCGTGAGGCGGGATGGGCCCCACCGCAGCCGGAGCACTCGTGCTTAAACCGGCACGAGGACCCCCACTTACAGAGACTGTCATTAAACTTCCAACAACAGCCGGACCTCTGACTGGAGGCCGATGAGGAGGAGGAGGTGCCCCCACCGGCCCCCCCAAGAAAAGACGAAAAACGCACCCTGTTGAGGGGCAGGACGAGTCATGATGGAAAGCCATAGGCCGATATCCATCTGATCCCACGACAGCGAGGGACGCACTGCCAGTCGCTGTCGAAACTGCTCGTCGTACCTCCACCAACCTAACCCCCCATAGGTGCGACAAGCGTTCCAGATCGTGTCCTGATAACAGAACAGAGCGGAACACTTTTGGGGAGACTTTTCCCCCACCACGCTGGCCAAAATAGAGAACGCCCGAATCCAATTCCCAAAGTTCTTGGGAATTTTGCGGAAACGGTATTTCTCCCTATCCTTCTCCGACTCCTTGCTGTCCTTGTCCGCCACGGGAGGAGCTTCCTCCAGCGGCAGAAGAGAATATATTTCCACAAATTCCCCCTTCCAAATTTTTTCTTTAGTCTCCTGCTTCAAGTGCAAGCCTAGGGGGCCAGACCAGCACATGTAAGCAGCACCCCGTGCTACGTCCGAGACCCCCCCGTCGAGACCAGCATCGCCCGAGGCGGAACCAACATTGGCCACCGCGGGCGCCGGGGAACTCAGAGGCGCCGCACCGCCCACAGACCCTGGTAGGGGCCCAGGAGGAGGGGAAAACTGAACCGGAGGAGCGAGCAGGGCTGGGGACCACGCTGACCGGAGCTGACTATCAAGAGTATTACCGCTAACTGCCACCCCTTTTTCCCACTGATCCAAAAAACCCCTAAGACCCAAGAGGAACCCCCCCAGCCCGGGACCCGCAGCGCCAGAAACGGAAGGAATAAGGTACTCACCGGTCGCAGACTGGCGATCCAAGCCCGGCACTGCGCTCACAGAAGGCTGAGGCAATGAAACTGCAGTTCCAGCATCCACTGAAGACATCAGCTGAGGACCAGACGCCACCTGCTGGACGGATCCATGTACTGCAGCAGTATCCTGAGAAGAGAGCGGCAGAGAGGACGTGAGCCCATGCCCCAGAGGAGATGGCCGAGGTAAGTGACCTGCAGGGGGGGGAGGGGGGCCAGGCAGGGCAGAGGGAGCAGAATAGGAGAGAGGGGAGGCAGAAAGGAAGGGATGGGGACCAGAGGGGGGGGAAGAAAAAACGGGAGGGGGAAGAAAAGAGGGGAGAGGGGGAGGAGGCCCACCAGAGGAAGAAAGGGGGGGGGCAGAGACAGGACAGGAGGATGGGGGACCAGGCATAGAAGAACGGGCAGGGGAGGGAGGGGAGACAGAGCCCTGGGAGCCATCCTCACTGGCAGAGGAGGCTCCCGACGGGCAAGGAGACCCCCCCCGACCCCCCAACGGCGGTACAAAGGTACCCCGCGCGGCCCGCGAGGGCCTACTCACCGCCCTACCACCCCGCCGGCCGCGGGGGGACCTGGATCGTTGCCGGGCGGCCGCCCGCCGCCCGGATGGCAAAATCCGCCGCCCACCGCCACCGGACCGCAATCCAGCACAGGCGGCCGGGGCGGAAGGTGATCTTCGGATAGGCCGCGCGGCAGTAGGCCGCATCCCCGGCCTCCCAGTGGAAGGCCGAGCGGCGGGGGAGGCGGCTGGCCGCGCGGCAGTGGCAGGCCTCGTGGCTGAAGGCCGTGCCACCCGCGCGGCCGCAGAAGGCCGCAAATTGCCACTCCTGGTGGCAGGCCGCGTGTCTGGAGCCCCAGACACGCGGTTCCGTCGATGCCTCGGGCCCGGGCTCCCAGTCCTCAACCGGGCCCGAGGAGCAGGATCAGGGGAGAGCCTGGCAGGCGGTCGGGAGCGCCTGCCAGTGCTGGTGCGGCCCCCAGGGGCAGGGACCGCAGGAGGAGCAGCAGGGGAGACCACAGGGGGTGCCCCAGGGGAGGGAAGGCCACGGGGGGTGCCCACACCGGCAGCCATACCTCCACTAATCATCTGAAATTGCTCCCTCAGTTGCCGGCCACCATCCAGCGCAGCAGCAGCCCTGAGGGATGACAGGATCGCCTCAATATCCATCACCTCAGGCTGTGTCAATCTGCAGGCCCAGGCAAACAGGAGCAGGAGACAGGAAGCTGTTTACTGGCCCGAATCCCAAGTGGCACTGAGGTAAGACCTCCCCCCTACTCGCTCACATAGCCCTATCCCACCCACACACACTTCCAAGACACTCCCACGCATCTCTCCCCACACTCATACATGTGCCCTTGTCCGCTTAGCTGCGCTATCTCCCCAGGGCCTTAACTGTTACTAACTGATCTGTGACTTTAAAACTGTATTATAACCACTTACTAACTGTACCATAACCACTGACTGTAAAGATGAGGTTACTAGAATGTGATATAGTTGGTTAGTCAAAAGTTGATTTATAGTACGGATAATTGTAGAGATGAAATTGTTGAAATGTTATGTGATCGGTTAGTTTATATGGATTAATAGCGTGGATAGTTGTATGGTTTGAATAATTGTTACATTGATAAGTGTATAGTCTTTGGTGGGTTTTTGATTTAATTTTGTGTGTGCGACGTCGTGATATTGTTGAGCATGTGAGGATCCTGTGTGTGTGTTTGGGCCTAGTGACTGCGCAATGTGTTGCTGGTGATAAGGAGATTGGTGTGACTGTTGAAACTGTGTGTATATTTGTACAGCTTTTTGAATCAGATGCTCTGTTGAAATAATCTGATTCACAAGGCTTTGTCTTGTATGTTTAAAAAAAAAAAAAAAAAAAAGTAGGGAGTAGCCTGTCCTGGTGGCCGCATGGCCTCCATGTAGCAGTCTTCACTTAAATTTAGTGCAGGGTGTACATGTGGCTGTAACTAGTAGGCTGGAATTCTATGATCAGTTTCTATAATTGACTGTTGGAAACTGATTGTTGAAAAACTGCCTTGGTGAATTAAACTGTGTCATATGGGAAACAATGTAGCCATATGGTGGTCAGAACTAAGGACTTAATTACAACTGCTTTGGACATCCCCTCCCCCCTGGCATCTGATTACCAACCCCCCAAACATCCTCCAGAGCCAGAGTAGCCACGCCCATTTCTTACTCCCAAAACTGGTATATAGTCAGTATTTGCACTCCCCCTGCTCTACTGTCCCCGCCTACCCACATACCTATCTGTTCCTGTGTTTCAAACTCTTGTATTTCTGTACTACCCCTCCCCCTAATCAATGATCAATGGTATCAGATGGTATATGGTCATTATTTTAGTTACTGGATGGGCCCCTCCCAGCTTTGTCCAAAATGTCCCCTTTTACTAAACTACAAACTGAAATGTTTAATTTACCTTAGAACTAAAGATTTAATCAAGCCTAGCTAGCAGGGTGGACATTGATTAAAATAAGTAATAATAAAATAGGACATAATTAATTAAAGTCTATTTGTTTCATTTGACTTTAGGGAGGCACTCTAAGCCACCTACTGGCCATCTTCGGGAGTTACATTGATAATACATTGTTTATAACAGATAGATGTAGGATTGCTTACCCTATTTTAATATATTTATTGCTATAAGGTTTTATTTTATGTATAAATATATTAAAAGTTGAGTTTTCTTATTAGACCCATAAAGATTATTTTGATACAATTACCCTCTGGTGACACCTACTGGTAGGTTTTTGGTTTAACACTTTAAAAAAAACGTTTTTTCATCCACCAAATGCTGACTAATAAAATTATCTTACTACTCCTAGACTGGAACCTATTATTGGGCAGCCTTGCCGAAGTCCCATATTAGACACTGCTTGAGTCAAATAGGTTGTATACTCCCTTTAATCCAGAGGCCCCTGAAAACTTCCGAATGATAGACTCAGCATTTGTCAGCCAGGCCCAAGGTGATAGTAAAAGGAAATTACAGAAAATTAGAGGGATTTGTAGGGATGTCCATAATACAGCTAATGGAGATTGCAAATACAGTATATATGAATAGGGAGACGGAGGAAGAACGTAAAATGAGGAAAAAGGCAGATATGCTAGCGGTAGCTATCTTAAGTGTAGAAAGACAGGGAAGTGAATAGAGGAGACGAGAATAGGCTGAGCAAGGGACTTTAAGTAGGAATTAATGTGCGTATTGTAGAAAGGAGGGACATTGGAAGAGTGAGTGTCCACAGAGAGAGCAGTATGAAGGTGATAGACAAGGAGAGAGAAGGGTATGAGGAGGTTATAGTGGTAGTTATAGAGTAAGAGGAAGTTTTAGAGGGAATGATGGGAATAGTAGAGGAAGTGTTCAAGGAGACAGATACTATCCACCCACGCAGAGACCTAGAGAAAGAGAGGATAGAGATTTTGTGGGTCTGGCTGACACTATCATGGAAGACTATTGATACCGACTGGGCTCCATCCCACTTGGTCGAGCGGAGCCTATGGTCGATGTAGCAATAGGGGGAAAGAGAAGTTCTTTCATGATCGACACAGGTGCTGAACATTCTGTGGTGACTAAGATGGTGGCTCCGCCTTCGGGGAAGACTATAACTGTGATAGGAGCTACTGGGAGAAGTGCAGCTAGACCGGTTCTTAAGAGTCGCACTTGTATTCTGGGAGGCCATGTGGTGAAGCATTAGTTCCTATATATGCCAGAGTGTCCGATTCAACTTTTAGGACGAGATCTATTATCGAAGCTTTAAGCTCAGATAACCTTTTACCTAATGGATTAACATCTCTGAAGTTTAAGGGATTACCAGGCATAATGGCGATATCGGTGCCAAGGGAAGAAGAATGACGCTTCTATTCCATAGTGACAAGTGTTAACCCTAAGAGTGATGAATCCTTATTTGACATTCCAGGAGTATGGGAAGAAAATAATCCTCCAGGACTTGCTCGTAATATCCCACCAATACATATTGAGTTAAAGCTCGGGGTGTATCCTGTTAGCCTTTGTATGTTGTTCTTTTATCTACCCCAACAGCTGTAAAGGTGGCGGAAGTGACTCCTTGGATTCATCATTCTAAGGTTAAACCAGCAGCAGACTCTTGGCAAGCTACTCCAGATCCTGAGAATCCTTGCAGGACCCGGTTGAAGCGTGCAACTCAGTCGGAGTGACGAGGGGATATCGAGACATTCTAGTTAAAAGTCTACAAAGATCATCAAGTAGGTGTTTTGACGGCCATAATAAAGCCTGACCACCTGCCTACGTGTCATAGCCAGAGTATCTTGAAGGGATCTCTGTGAAGGAAAGTGAGGATCAGAAGAACAACATCCTTGCAGCCCTCACAATAGGGAAGCTGAGAGGCCATCGCACGGTCGAAGAAAAATGAGGATTTCAGGATTAATGTGTTTTATTGTGTCTTAGTATTTTTATGATTTTTCAGGAAGGTAGGAGTACAGACATACCGAATTGCGATAGTTGCATTAAGACTACTAAAACAGGTAACCAAATATCCCAAACTCTCATCTGGCACTCACAGTATGAATGTAAGGGATCTGTATCTAAATGTAGATATTTGGATATTGATTATAGTGTGTGCAAGCCAATATCAGGAGAGTCTAAATGTTTTGATCCCCATTTCCAACCCCGTACAATTTGGTTGGTAATTCGGAATAGTAACTCCCAGGGGACATTAATAAATAGGACTGTGATAAGCACCATACATTCCACGGGTATTCTACTATTTGATGCATGTAAGGCGATTTCGGGTAGTGGAAGACTTTGGAATGTATGTGGTAATCTTAAATGGGAACGAACTTATGGGTTTAATGATAAATACTTATGTCCCAGTATAAGATCTACTGATCCTGATTGCCCAAATAGAGACTAACTTCTGCCCCTATTTGTCATGTGTAGGTTGGGCAACCTGGGAAAAACAGTGGATCAAGATATGATTATCCAAAGGTTGCCTACCACACCATACTGTAAAACTATGTGTGTAACCCCGTTCACATGACCATTTCCAATCTGCAGTACTTTATTGACAGGTTTGGAGGTCTGTTTGGGTTCCAAATATATGGCACAGGAGTAGATTCAGGAACAATAATATATGTAGGTCTTGAAACTGAGACAGTGGCAACTCAAACTCATCAGGTTTCTCATTCCTTCTATGAGGAGATGAGTATTGAGGATAAAATTCCCCATAATGTTAACA